GTGCCGTCGGCCAAGCAATGTAGGCTGGCGACCCCCAGGGGGAGGGCCTTCTCTGTGGGTGCCCCCACCCTCTGGAACGAACTACCCCCCAAGATCCGGATGATTCCGGATCTCCTTACTTTCCGCCGCGCCCTCAAGACATGGCTTTTCCAGCAAGCGGGCCTGACCTAGGGAGGATTTTAGGTAGGGATGATTTTAAAAGTAATTTTAATCGGAAACACAGCTGGCAATATTTGGTTTTTAATTCAGCTTTTATTGGGGTTTATATTTTTGTATTTCTGTATTTTTGTATTTTGTGTATAGTATTTGTTTTTTAATATGCTGTGAACCGCCCTGAGTCCTATGGGAGAAGGGCGGTATACAAATTAAATTAACATTAACATTAACATTAACACTTTAATATAGATGGCAAGTGCCCATGTGGAAGGCCAAAGCAAAGATGGCAAGACAGAATAAATGTGGACATGAAAAATGCCCAGGTGGACACAGATGCTGTATTTGATCATGCAAGATGGCGCTTGTTGACCTGAAAAGCACTTGCAGGAAAAATATGATGATGATGAATCTTAAATTATAGTAATAGCAATAGCACTTATATATCATTTCACAGTGCTTTACAGCAAGGGTCCCCAACTGGCCAGTGGGCTGCAGAAACAACTGGCTGGTGCGCACACGCATGGGCGCGCATTCCCCCCCATTCAAGCTAGTGCCTGAGGCCCATTTGCACGTGCGTGCGGGTGCAAATGGAGATGCTGGCATGGGGTGGATGTCTGCAGCCCGTTTGCGCATGCGCTGCTAGCCCAGGTGGTTTGCACGGCCCATTAGTGCATGTGCGAACAGCCCGCTAGCCGCTGTGAGGGTGTGTGGCTGTTCATGCATGCACACGGTGCCAGCGCATGCTGCATGCATGAATGGGGCTGCTAGTTCCGCACCAGTGTGTGTGGTCCCATGTGCACGCACAAATGCGCGCACACCAATTTTGAAGCTGCTCTCCTTCCCTCCAGGCCTCCAGCCCATAAAGGTTGGAGACCTCTGCTTTACAGCCCTCTCTAAGCGGTTTACAGAGTCAGCATATTGCCTCCAACAATCTGGGTCCTCATTTTACTGACCTTGGAAGGATGGAAGGCTGAGTCAACCTTGAACGGTGAGAATTGAACTGCTGAACTGCTGGCAGCCGGCAGTCAGCAGAAGTAGCCTGCAGTACTGCATTCTAATCGCTGCACCACCACGGCTCTTATGTCATGTCTATATTTCAGATTCCATTTATATAGAAAGTGCTTTGAATTAATGCTTCATTTAAATATATTTCTATATAGTGTCCTGTAATAGTGATATTTTGGGAAAAATTATTACATATACCAACTCAACTCAAATTTATAAATAACAATTTATACATGAATCCCTTGATATAAACTATGGATGGTTACAGTTAAATATGGCTCTATAAATATGTTTGTGTTTCTTTTCTGTTTTTTTTTCCCTCATAACTTGGTATATTTTTATTTTTCATTATTTTATTCAACTAGTAAAAAGCAAAAAGAAAACAACTTTCTTCCAAAATACTCCCAACTAAGTTTAGATAACACTAGATATTGTAGTTTAAACAAATAAACTGATAGTAAATCATGATGGTAATTTATGATTAAGGTGCTCCTCCTTAAGCACAATTTCTTGGTCAGATTTAATGTATATTCTAGTTTCTCTTAAGATCATATAAATCCAGATGTCATACTAGGTTTAACTTCTTTATGCTTTAAAGCACTGTGTCAATGAAATAGGAGTAGCACATATTTTCTGATTAATGCAAGTCTATAAACTTATTGACAATGTATAATTCCTTTTTTCTTACAAGCTTACACTGTTGCTGACTTGTGTAGATAACATTCATACAGACTCCACAGATAACAAAATAACTACATAAAATGTAACTAGAGCAAATTCCTTTCTTAGCAACTGTTGGGTTTTAATGGATTTCTGGATGTGTTTGTTTTTGCAGTCTAACCCTGAACAAATGCACAAATATTAAACCTTTAAGAAGATTAGAACACCATGCTAAAGTTCTTTATGCTTCTTCTCCCTACTGAAAAAGAGTTCCATCTCTTGAGTTTAATTTCATTCCTGTAAAATGAAAATAAATCTCTAGTCATAAAGTAAGATTACCTAATTAGTTAAAGATTCTCTCCTTAAAAAGCACTTTTTATGTTATGTTCTTGAATTTTCTGTTCAAGTATTGTTTGGGAAAGTGTTTTGTTTAATGTTTAATGGCTTTTCTCTACTTTCTGTCATACTCTGTAGAATTTAGTTTGCTCACAGTGCCAATAATTTGTTTTAGCTGCAGTTTTCAAATAGCTACAGTTCTAATGAACTGCTACTTTATATAGCAGCCATGGGCTATAATAATAATAAAAAAACAGTAAGGAGTGAACATGGCAGCCACACAATCTAGCCATTTCTAATTGCATGGGTGGGAATAGAAGCTTAGAAGAAAAAATGGGAGGGGAGGAGCCATTTGATGGTTTAATCATTTTTCTGTTTGGAAACTGTGGAAAAATGTGTTGCCTTTACCCAAAATTTTGAGATCAAATATCAGCCATCCCGGATCTTGGGATGAGGCTCCTGGGTCCAGAAATTGCTCATTGTATAATGTTTCAGGGAGTGGGTCCCATTAAATCCAATAGGCCTTCTTTCCAGAGGAGATGCAAACATCTGATCACTAGTGCCACGGCTGAAAAGTCAAGCTTGCTTCCACAAAGTCAGCAAACCACTGAAAGCAGATCCGACTTGGTTGCCAAAATAGAAATGTACAATAATGGTAAGACTGATCCGCTGCCCTTCCCTTTTAGCCTCACATTCCATAAAGCAAACCTAACAAGAAACATTTCTTTTATACTCTTGTCAAATGTTATTACTACCAAGGCATTGACGGGTTGCGGGGCACTGATTATTTCAGAAAGACATGAATAAAGAACACTAAACTTTCCTGCAAAAACAGGTGGACAAAGGTTTGAAAAGGAAAGACAATCCTGAGCCAGAATCCCTAAATTCCAGGGAGAAACGTCCCTGGTGCTGTTGCTTTGAAAATCCCCCATCTCATTCCAACATTGTTGTTTTCTATATGAAAGATGGAAAAAGGGCAGACATTTGGAATAGGACTTGTTTCCTCATGCTTTTTGAATGCATAATCACTAAATCATAGTCAAGAACTAATGACACGTATCATAGGATGTATGTGTCAAAAGTAACTCATCTTCCACTATGACAGCTTCCTAGTTTTGGTATGGCACCAAAGCAAAGCCCCCGCCCCCCATTCTTGATAACCTAATCTTTGTGCTGGAAAGGTCTTTTTTGTTCTGTTTCTATTTACCTTCCTTTGCTAAACTAAAACAAGAAATAAGTTTTAAGTAAACCAAAAAGCTACATGTTTTAATAAATTAACTTGTTTGCATCTTTTCCAAATCTATCTATCAGAACTAAGTAGAACTTACACAGTAGTTCAGGCACTGTAAGTTACGTCGGCAGTTTTATTCTCAATCCTTTTAAAAGGATTGGTGCAGATGACACTAAGCTGGCAGGAATAGCCAACACTCCAGAAGACAGACTTAGGATACAGGAGGATCTGGACAGACTTGAACACTGGGCGCTATCTAACAAAATGAAATTCAATGGTGAAAAAAGCAAGGTTCTATATTTAGGCAAGAAAAACCAAATGTACAGGTATAGTATAGGGGGTACCTTGCTCAATAGTAGTAACTGTGAGAGGGATCTCAGAGTCCTAGTGGACAATCACCTAAATATGAGCCAGCAGTGTGCTGCAGCTGCCAAAAAGGCCAACACAGTGCTAGGCTGCATTAACAGAGGGATAGAATCAAGATCACGTGAAGTATTAATACCACGTTACAATGCCTTGGTAAGGCCACACTTGGAATATGCATCCAGTTTTGGTCACCGCGATGTAAAAAAGATGTTGAGACTCTAGAAAGAGTACAAAGAAGAGCAACAAAGATGATTAGGGGACTGGAGGCTAAAGCATATAAGGAACGGCTGCTGGAATTGGGTATGTCTAGTTTAACGAAGAGAAGGACGAGGGGGGACATGATAGCAGTCTTCCAATATCTCAGGGGCTGCCACAAAGAAGAGGGAGTCAAGCTATTTTCCAAAGCGCCTGAAGGCAGGACAAGAAGCAAGGGATGGAAACTAATCAAGGAGAGAAGCAACCTAGAACTAAGGAGAAACTTCCTGACAGTTAGAACAATTAATCAGTGGAACCACCTGCCTCCAGAAGCGGTGAATGCGCCAACACTGGAGGTTTTTAAGAAGAAACTGGACAGCCATTTGTCCAAAGTGGTATAGGGTTTCCTCCCTGAGCAGGGGGTTGGACTAGATGACCTCCAAGGTCCCTTCCAACTTTATCATTATTATTAAAATAATTTCTACTACAGAATTCTTTTTTGTTGCACACCATTTTATTTAAGCTTCCCATGACAAGACTTCTTTCTTGATCAGTCATTGTTAGCTGCAGTCCCATTGATATGTGTGAAATTTAGAGGTTTTGCTCTAATATGTATAATTTACAGTCCTTACACTGAACTGTATTTGCCACTTTAAAACCTATTCACCCATTTTAGTGTACCATCAAAGCAATATAAATAGACATTTATATGCAATTAAACATATATATATATATTACTTATCATATAATATATATGGAACTAAATGCAAGCCAGCTCCTACAATAATGGCAAAATTACAAATGTTTCTTTTTCATACCAGTTATAAAACCAAAAAGAAAAACCAAAAATCATTCTTTGTTCCATGTGTGTCATCTTGTTCTCAAGACAACTACAGCTAAATCAGGATGAGTTGGAAGTTATTCTAGCCTCTGGCTCACATTTCGAATGTTGTCACCAGTGAGAGAAGCTGTGTCTTCTTACTGAAACTGAAAAGGCTTCGTGGATAAATCCAACCCCACCCCTATTTGGACTGTTTCACCTTTAAGTCCACAGGAATCAGGTACTAATGGCTAAGGGTTACTGTAAAAGAGTTCCTTAGAAAACTGGACTTAACAGTGATATTCTCAGGCGTGGAAAATAAATTCTGTGTTCTACTGGATCAGGACAGCCCCAAATGACTCTAGACTCAAATTAGTCCTTTTGAGATTATCTGGAATGCTGTAGATCTTGTAGAAAAGGAAAATGAGTATAGGAAAAATCTTCATGATTGGCTGACTTAAATGTTCCTTTTACTACTGTTGATTGATGCATTTAAAAGAGTCGGTCACATCAAAGCATTATTATTTTTTCCAACAACCATCAATCCAACAAGAAATGATCTGCATTTTGGATCTAAATTTGAGGCCAAAATCAGTGAGGGAGAACTTGTGTGAACATACATTATCTGTGGGTTACAAATAGGAATAGATGATTTTATCTTGAAGACTATTCTTGCTGCTGTGGTTGAACAAGATTTGGGCACAGAAATTAAGATGGTTTCTGAAGCGGCCACAAGTCCTTCATTGACGCTTCACACTTAGTTCCAGGTAACTGGCCATGGAGATTCCTGGATCTTCAGGAAACATAAGAAAGCCTGGCCTGGCCCACCATGATCCTCTCATGATCCCTTTCCTTGAGGATGGGCCTTATGAACTGCAGAACGTACTCACTTCTTGGGGCTGAGAGAGCCAAGTGGGGAACCTTGCACATAGGTCAGGATGGCATTTTGAAGGAAGCTGGCCCGCTGAGCTTCCTCCTCCCTTATCCTGGAGATTTCTGCTTCCCGAACCCGTAATTTCTCAAGCAGGCTGGAGATTTCACCCTCTTTGTCCAATAGTGCCTCCCGGTGGTTACTGGACAACACTAGAAAAAGAAAAATGAAACATGAATGCATTTAGCCTTTTTTTGACTCAGGATAATGAAATCTTTTAAAGCAGACATGTCAAACACAAGGGCCAGGGGCCCGTGGTTTCATGTGGCCCGCGAAGCCATCCTGGAAACAGTGAGGGAACGGCCCCCGCTGCCTTGGCCCTGGCCGCCCGGGAGCCAATGTACAATTTTGTTGTGGCCATCTATGCTGAAACGCATTCAGTCTTAGCTCCACAAGGCCGTCCGGAAACAGCAAGGAACCAGCCCCTGCCGCGTTGGTCCCACCCCCTGGGCACGCGCTGGGGAGGTGTCACCCTTTGTGAGGAATGAAGAAATGCACCATCGCCTGGAACTGGCCAGCAAATGGCCCTCGCCTACTTCACATATCCGGCTTGATGGGCTCCGGGGGAGGGGCTTCGGCAGGCTCTTCCAGTGGACTATGCCTTGGCGCTTGCCCTGGTCCCACCCCTTTCTGCCCGAGATCCTCAGATCTGTCCCACTCCTGCCCAGGCACCCACAGGCACCCTTGACGCAAACGATGTAGAGCTGGCCATGCCCACCCAGTAGGCCACACCCACTCCAGCCACGCCCACCCAGTAGGCCATGCCCCCCCTGGCCACACCTATCCGCCCCCCCCGAGGACAACCGCAATGCTGAGGCGGCCCTCAAATGAAATTGAGTTTGACACCCCTGCTTTAAAGGCAGAATACATTTTACATGGCCTCAAGAGAACTACAAGATGTTACATAATTTTTTAGATGATTGAAACAGCTAGATGATGTCATTGTCTACATTTAGAATGAAAGAGTAATCGAACTGGGATACATTAACTGTGGCTGATTTCTTCCTAAGATACCATTAGCTTGGCAACAGAAAAGTTTTTCAGCATTATTGAGCAGTGTCGGGCTTCAGGGTTTAGTGACTGTGGTTCACCAGCAACAGTGAGTGATATCTTTAGAGTCAAGATGGTCTGCACAGACCACAGCCCAGTCAGTCCTTGCTCAGTTGCCTATGGCCTGACCACCATGCCACTGAAGATGCCAGCCACAGTTGCTGGCAAAATGTCAGGACCACGGCCACTGAATTCTGAGGTTGCCAAGCAGATGCCAGCCAAGCAGATACCAGCCGATACCTTTCCGGAAGGCCTCTGTACCGAGCTATAGCTCCAGATCTGGGGCTTCACTTACACTTCAGTTAGGTAAGGTATTGATTACTGGTGCAATATTATGGCACATCATGTAAATTGCTGCAGGTACTTTGGTGGTACTAGTTACCTTTCAGCTGGCGCTCAAGGGCCGCAATCTTCCCTCGCAGCCCTTCTTGTGCTGTTCTCTCAGCTTCCAGGTGACCAATCTGCTCCTGCAGCTCCACACGCACTTTATTGACCTCGGAAACTTTCTCTTGTTCCTTACTGCCCAGCTCCTGCCATCATAGCACGGGGGGGGGGGCAAAGTAATCAGCGGCTTGTGCTTCAAATGTTGGTACGACAAAGTCATAATGGCCACATGGCGCACACCTTCACCATCGGCCCAACAACCCTGCACTTGCCCTGTGTCTCACTCTCCCTTTACCACTCTTGGGATACGTATATTCCCAAATAAAATTGGGTATGATGGGAGGCCGCCTAACAGGGTAGAGCACCTAAGCAACTTTGGGTAGTTGTGGAAAACAAAGGAGGTTCAGATCCTGCTTGTTACTTGGATGGGATACTGTCAGTAAATCCCCAATTTGTAGAGTAGGCTAGGAATGCCGCTCCTCACCCCTCATTTGAGAAGGCAGCAATAGGAAGCCACTCTCCGCCATTGCCAAGAAAACTACAGGGATGGGTCAAGTGCCCTACCAGGAGTCAGCCTCAATTTAAGGGAATTCTTTAATTTTTTTAATGATGAAGTTATGTTGAAACTACTAGAGATATTGCGAGTATTTGAGTATGAAACAGGAAAAGTGATCTTCTTTAAAGTTTTGCCAAGAGGAACAGGAACTGCATGCACCCCAGCCAGCATTACCACGAGAAGCTCTTGGTTCAGATAAAGTGCTTCTAGGAACAGAATAAAACCTACAAATGTTAGGGGTCATATATTATACTAAGTTTCCACCCCGGTTTGTGCTGTCAGTCGCAAGTGACTGACTTCACAATACACTTAAGTCATAAGCCATTGTTTACAACCTGCAACAACCAGGTATTATACAGGAGAACTTTCCTGGAGGCAGAAAAGAACTACTCGAAAGATGATCTTTGCTAACCAGACAATTTACTTGTCCCACATGTTTTATAAAACAGTCTACCATCCCTGGCTTAGCAGTGTGGAATCCGTAAACTAGGAGAATCTGAACTTTGACTGGTTTTTTTTTGAACCATGCCCTCTGTCTATTCAGAAGAACCTGCAGATAGTCCTTGAGCTACAACCATAATGGAGTCTGCCCACCACGGTCATAATTCCTGATGGTCGTAAAATGGATCGGTCACATAACTGACCTTATGATCATTTTTGCAGCAGCTGTTAAGTGAACCAACCACAGCCTTTAAGTAAACCAACCACTCGCTATGGGCAGTTTTGCCAAAAAACAGAGGAAATTCCCAGTTTTTGGCAAAACTATCACATGACACCAGGATGCTGCAAACACCTTTAAATGCGGTCTGGTTGCCATGTGTCCAAAGTGCAGTCCAATGACTATACGGGGGGGAGAGGGAAGAGACCTGACCATTGGAAGTTCAAATCTGGGTGATAAGTACCCTCCAGGTAAGTCCGTTGGAATTCAAACAATGGCAAGGTGACCGGTCGTTAAGTCAAGGACTATCTCGATTCCCAGGTATGTACACAAGGAAGTGTAGCCTACTTGTCAGAACCCGGTTGTTGGGAGGGGGGTAATTTCTTTATTCTTGCGGGTTCTGCCATAATCCTGGGGGGAGGGGGGGAGCTATGGGCGCTGCAATGTATCCTCTCCGCTTTCCTCTATCTGCCTGCTCTTTGATCTATTTCCCTTGATGCCGGTCTGGGGTGAGAATGGAATGTGCCTCCGGCCATCTGCCTTATCTCTAGCTACCGAAGAAGAGGTGCGGAGACCTAACAGCCTTGGGATCGGCGCCTTACCAACCCCGTTCCCACAGCGGATTCACACCTGGGGTTTGGGCCATTTGAACTGGCCGGATGGACTATTGGGGTGCGGTTTGCCAGTTGCTCTTTTAACCTATTGATTCGCGCGGGAAACCCTCAGATCCTGCCTTCTATGCCTGCTGTCAACTTCTCCTAATAAAAGTTCCTTTTGGAATGAAGCTGTTCCAGGAGTTCTGCTTTCTTGGGAAGAGGGATTGAGGAAGGTCCTTACACTACTGTTGAATGCTGATATCAGGCTTCTTCCTGTGGGACTTTTTCAACTCGCTCACCTGCTGAAGCTCTTCCAGTCGCCTCTTGAGTCCTTCCATCTGCAGACTCAACTGGCCTTCCTTAGCGTGTGCTTCTGCCACTGTTTGCTTCTGCTGCAAGCAGTAATTCTGTGCCTCGTCACGGGATTGCATCATCAGCCTCAGCTTCTCCTCCATCTGCTCCAGGCGCTGTTGCTATTAATTGCCCACAAAAAAAAAAAAAGAAAGAGAGAAAGGAATCATCTTTTTTCAATATTGCTGATATGTAAGAATTGGACATCTTATTAATAAGATTTTATTTTATTTCCATTATGAGTTTTAATCAGTTACCTGAACATATTGATTTTTTTTTTAAAAAAGCCTCTCTAAATTAGAAAGCATCATCAACTATCCATCAACTTGGGTACCTCCAATTATACTGAGATGTAATCAGAATTCCCAGGTTGGTCTAGGCCAGGGCTTTTCAACCAGTGGTACGGGTACCACCTGTGGTACATTGGCACCTGGCAGGTGGTACGCAGCCATCCTAGAAAAGTGGTAGCAGGGGAGGGGAATGAGCTGAACCGGTGGCAATACCGCACAAGCCTGAGCGAGAGACGGCTGGAGCTGCAGGGCTGTCAGGACTCAGTGGAAGTGCCAGGATCAGTGCTTCTTCGGGGCTGTCAGGGCTCAGTGGAAGTGCCAGGATCAGCGCTTCTTCGGGGCTGTCAGGGCTCAGTGGAAGTGCCAGGATCAGTGCCAGGCTCCAGCTGGAGCTTGGCGCTGATCCTGGTGCTTCTGCTGAGCCCAGAAGAAGTGCCGATCAGCTGGAATGTTGCAGCCTCTCCAGGGTCTTGTGATTTACATTCAGATGCTTGGCAACTGATTCATATTTATGACGGTCACAGTGTCCCAGGGTCATGTGAAGTGACCAAAACCTGCAGATGGGGGGAATAAAAACCAAACCCCACTACCCCACCCTCGCTGCCAATCAACAGAAATGCTCACAACAATGAAAACCTCGGACAGGAGGAAGAGCGCCGCCGGGTGGGCAGGCAGGTGTCTTGCTCGGCTGTGGCTTGGGGAGCACTTTTTTCAGTGCCACTGTAGCTTCGAACAGTCACTAAGCGAACTGTTGTAAGTCGAGGACTACCTGTACTTTATCACTTTTTTCTTTTTTGGGGGGGGTCATCAAGTTTTTGACACCTTGCTAGGCGACTGGTGGTACTTGGATGTTGCCATATCCTAAAAGTGGTACAATGGGTGAAAAGGTTGAAAAGCCCTGGACTAGACTAGTTTTTCCTCAATCTGGTCAACTTTTAGAACAATGGAGTTCAGCTGGTGAGTGCTGGCTGGGGAATCCTGGGAGTTGAAGTCTACACATTTTAAAGTTGCTAAGGTTGAAAAACACTGAGGATATTAGAAAAGAATGGGTGCTTCCCTTTTAAAATGTTCCTTGCCACCTGCAACTTTTATAAGGAAGACTTAAAACACAGTTCATTCTCTTTATTCTATTTTACCTAATAATAACCCTGATGTGAGATAGAATAAACCAAGTATATCAGTTCTGGGCCAAGTAAGAGTGAAAATTTTTGCTTGATGCAGCTGAAAACGTAATGTTAAATTCTCCCCAAATGGACATTCATCCAAGTAGAAAATCTTAGCATGCCAGTTACAAGAAAATACCTGTCTCAGGTGGTCCTGCGTCTCTGTCTCTACTTCATTTTACTTTCTGATGTATCATTGGCACAAACAGGGAATTAACAGACGAAATTATGTAGCAATGCTGCTTTTGAGCTGCCCTGTCAGCCTTACCTCTTCCAACCTGGTTTGGTTTTTGGCTCTGATGACTTCTTCCTCAATTTTGCCTCGTTCAATGAAGGCGGCAGCTTTCACTTGGCTCAGTTCCTAGGGACAAGGCAGAAGAACAAGGCACTGCAGTTTCTGATCGTAAAAGCAAATCAAGAAACCTGCCGTGGTCTGAACCTGGAGACATATTCTTAGAGAAAACCCAAAGCCACTGAGGACGAGACTCAGTTGGTTTTCCAGGAAAAAGCCAACAATATTGGGAAGCCCTTCCACTCACCTCCTCGAGCCCAATGCGGATGGCCTCCAGCCTTTGGATGCGCTCCTGCAGAGCATGTTCACTTGTCTCCATGTGCTGAGTTATCTGTCCCACCTGCATGTCAAGCACCATTGTTCAGAGGATCTCTAGCAGCACATAAATAATGATTGACACCAGCCTTTCTCTTCGGTAAATGGGAGACACACGAGGAATATTGGAGCAAACGAAATTTCTTTATTCAAGAAAGCTTGGGGCACATTTTCCAACTCCTTCGCAAAGAATCCAAACATAAAACTGTAATATGAACCCACAGAAAGGGACTGACATCTATCTGTCTGTCTATATCAGTGGTGGCGAACCTATGGCACGGGTGCCAGAGGCGGCACTCAGAGCCCTCTCTATGGGCACGCGTGTCCTCGCCCCAGTCCTAGGCCTTCAGCTGGGTTTTATAAAACCTTTTCACTTTAGGCCTCCACCGCCGTGTGCAAAAAAAAAAAAAAAAGGTTCAATCAGTCAATTTCAACTTCTCGCGGGAAAAAAAAGATCTTGCAAAGTTGGAATTGATTGATTGAACTTTTTAGTCCCACTCAGTCTGCCATTACCACCGCAGCCACACCCACCCAATGGGCCACACCCACCTGGCACTCGACAATGCATAAGTGGGTTTTGGGTTGCAGTTTGGGCACTCGATCTCTAAAAGGTTCGCCATCACTGGTCTATATCATAGTTCTTAACTGCCCATCTTCCTCAGATATGTAATGAAAAAACAGAGCCCTGAATTTTGAAGGGTAAGGATGATCCTATTCTAAAGGAAGGAAGGCAGAGTTATTTAGGATAGTCTGATTCCCAAAAATCCTGGCCTAAAAAAGAATTCCATCAAAGGGAAACATAATTGCCTTCCCTGGTCTCAAAGACTCTTGGATTGTAGGTGTGAGGCAATAGTGAAAGTGTGCAATTACTTCTGTGGAGCTGTGGAGAGTGGGGGGCTCTGTAATGGAGAAACCCTTGGAAAGAAACAATTTCCTGGCATTCTGACCAAGTCTTACAACAGTCCCAAAGGTCTTCCTTTATTCACATGGCCAGGATGGCTCAAGACTCTTGTAGGCAAGCCATGATTGCATCCTCTCTTGTAAACAAGGGTAGAATGGGTAGAATTTATTTTCAAGTCAGAAAGCACATTTGAGTCAGAACTACTTCAGACACCCCCCCTGTCCCTGGAGGAATGCTAAAATTCCCACAGCCTCCTCACCTCCTTCAGACGAAGGGATTCTGTATCATTCAGGACCTGCTTGAATCGCTTCTTTTCATTTTCCAAACGCTCTATGGAAAAACAAATATAGTGAGGTCCCCAACTCCTTTCATCTGTCTTCCCTTTCTGAAGGACTCCAACAAAGCTCTTCTTTCACTCAGTAGCTGAAGACCTATGAATTACGCTCACCTTCAGCCTGTACAACTCTGAGTTTCATTTCTGCTGTTGTGTGGGTCAGCTCCTCCTTCACATGGAACAGTTGCTCTTGCTGGATTTTGCATCTTCTTTCCAGCTCATCCACCTAGAAGGAAATCCACTCATAGTAGAGAGACAGACAAGCCCCCATCTCTCTACAATAGGTTGCTGGGAAAGAGTGTCGAGCACAAACAGGCAACCTGTAGTTCCCAAGCAACAAGAAATCCTTGGCAGCCTTCTGTCTGAAGGGCTTCCTGGTGGCCCACCTAGCAACTGATTAATGTCTATGGCAGACATGTCAAGCACAAGGCCCAGGGGCCGGATGCGGCCCATGAAGTGGTTTCATGTGGCCCGCAAAGCCATCCTGGAAACAGTGAGGGAATGGCCCCCTCTGCCTTGGCCCTGGGAGCCAATGTACAATTTTGTGGTGGCCATCTATGCTGAAACGCATTCAGTCTTACCTCCATAAGCCCCCCCCACCCGCATGGCCTCAGAGGAACAGTGAGGGTCTTCCAGTGGACCATGCCTTGGCACTTGCCCTGGTCCCATCCCCTTCTGCCAGAGACCCTCAGATCTATCCCACTCCTGCCCAGGCCCCCTGGCACCCTTGATGCGAACGATGTAGAGCTGGCCACACCCACCCAGTATGCCACACCCACTCCATCCACACCCACCCAGTAGGCCGCACCCACCCTGGCCACACCCACCCGGCCCCCTGAGGGCAACCGCAATGCTGATGCGGCCCTCAGTGAAATTGAGTTTGACACCCCTGGTCTATGGAATAGGTGCTGTCAGCCTGATCAGCAGGCTGCCTGGGCAAACTGTTCCACTGTGTTGGATTGACTGCATTTATACATTTATGGCTCGTAACCCACAACCTGTAACTCACTGAAGCAATTGCCCAAAGCTGCTATTGCCCAAGGCTGCATCCAGGAGCCAAAAGCTAAATTGA